GGGCAGCCTGGCGCCTGATGAGGAGCCTGTCCTCTGACTGAGGACGCACGGCCTCTGACTGTGGGTGTGAGCTCTGCCCCTGGTCTCTGGGCTCCTGGGTGGCTCTTTCTGGCTGTGGAAGCTGCTCTCACAGGTGGCGCTGAGCTCTCAGGGATAGTTGCTGTCCCCCTGGCGCCCTGGGAGAGGGAGATGCGCCTGCAGCGGGGCTTTGGTGTGAGCCCTCTGGGAGGAAACGTGAGAGGCCAGACCAGGTGACCTGCCTGTGGTGACAACTGAGGATCAGTGGGGAGGGCGCCCTGAGCTGAGGGGGACTCTGGACCGTGGCCAAAGGCAGGTGCTAGGCCTGAGCCTCAGTCTGAGAGGGGCATGGCCTTCGGGGAGGCAGCCCTTCCCGGGGAGGGCACAGCTGTGTGCTGCCAGGTCCCAGCAGGGCTGTGAGGTCGGTCACCCCTGAGCAGGGACCTGGATGGGCTCCTCTGTGCCCACAGCTCGGGTTTGGTTGTTCAGCACCCAGGCTGCCAGGTCCTGGGGCTTCATGAGCTCAGATGGGCTGGGATGTCTGGGGAGACACTCGGACATGGGACCCATGAGAGGCCCCATTACCATGGGAGGATAAGCAGGGTCCTTACACTGTGTGTGTGTCTCCGGCTGAGGGTCCTCCACCCAGGTCTCTGTCTCCCACTCAGGCCAGCCCTGTCCTGTCAGAGTGAACCTGCTCTGTGCCACCCCCTGCAGAGCGGCCTGAGGTGGGAGGAGGAGGCAGCAGGGGACCTCAGAAGTGGGACCTGGGCTGAACCTGCCCACGTCTTGGTCTGCAGTCCTTGGGGCTGGAAGAGAGGGTGACAAAGGGAGGTTTCTGTCACACTTCCCCATCCGCCTGTATCACTGTGAGTTTCAGCAATATTGTCCAACACCGCACAGTAATAGTCCTGGGCCTGGGCCCTGCTGATGGTCAGGGTGTCGGTGTCCCCTGAGTCAGAGCCAGAGAATCGTTCAGGGATCTTTGAGGTCCTGTTTTCGTCACTATAGACGACCAACACGGGGGCCTGGCCGGGCTTTTGCTGGTACCAGCTTGCGTAAGATTCTTTTACGAGTTCTCCCTGGCAGGTGATCCTGGCCGTCTGTCCGGGGGCCACAGACACTGCTGGGGGCTGAGTCACTACTGAAGAGGCCACAGGACCTGTAAGAGAGGAGAAGAGAGGAGAGGAGAGGAGAGGAGAGGAGAGGTGAGTGTGGGCATGAGGGTCTCAGTCCCAGAGGCCCACACCCCGCAGCGTCCCCTGGGCTGAGCTGAAGGTCATGGCCAGGCTGCTCCCTGGTTTTGGGGCCTGAGCCTGGGGGCAGCACCTGTGCAGAGTGTGAGCAGGGGGAGCAGGAGGGTCCAGGCCATGGTGAGGCTCCAGGCTCTGCTCTGAGCCCTCAGCTCAG